GAAATGTTGGGGAAACTGAAATACATGTAATGCTTACCTTTCTATTAAACTTAATTGTTTACAAATTTAACAACTTAAAAAACATCATTTATAACTCAACATTATAAAATTGTATGTGTATACAGAGAGAGAGAGAGAAAGAAAGAGAGAGAGAGAGAGAGAGAGAGAGAGAGAGAGAGGTTGAAGGTAATTTTTCTATGAATTCAGTCCAATTCTAATCTTTAACTTCCCAGTCAGTTCCAAGGCACACTGGTGGGGAGATACCAAGTATTCATTGTAACCCTTGGCTAGAGTGTAGAGGAAAGTTTGCCAGAACTATCTACCTTTCAAACATAATTTAAGAAGTAAATCTCAGAAATGAACTTCAAGAGCACTATAGTTCCTTGATCTAAAAAATCTTCACACAGAAATGGCTTTTACAAAAAGTAGTGTAACTCAGAGAAAAGATACAGAAAAAAGTTAGTCTCTCATAGTAATTGATCTGTGATTGAAGCAGATCAATTTACTGTTTCAAGCAACAGGACAAGATTAGTTCATAATGAATCAAGACCACATCTCCAGTTAACAAGAAACTAGAGATAGCAAAGTTTTGGCCATATGTAAGAATAGTGACAGAGAATGCAATACTGACTTTTTCCCAACTATAAGTCTCACTAGGCCATCTTAGAAGGGCCAACGTGAGGTTAAAATGCACAGAGATTGGTGGACATGATATATTTAAATAACTGACTAATTGATCAGCACTATAAACAGCGGAGGACATCTCCACACAATACAAGGGACACTTAGGGTTGCCAGCTCTGGGTTGGGAAATTCCTGGAGATCTTGGAGTGAAGCCTGGGGAGGGAAGGGACCTCAGTGAGGTATAACAAAATGGAGTCCACCCTCCAAAGCAGTCATTTCCTCCAAGGGAACTGATCTCTGTAGTTGTGTTGTGTGACAGAGACAAAGCTGTCCTGACTCTGAAAGGATCAAACAGACACACAACTTGGGAATTTTGCTCTAGCATCCAATCCAATGATGGAGAGAAACACAGCAGGAGAGTGTTCAGGTCTGCCTCAGCAAAAGAGCAGACAGTTTGAATGGTAGCTCTGCCTGGTCGTGTGGCAGCAGTTTAGCTCTATCTCCGGGAGATGATAGAGTACCTAGTTGTTACGCCTGTCTCTGATGATAAGCAGACCTCGTACAATTTAGTCTGAGTCTTGGGTGTATGAAAGGACCTAGCTTAGTGGCTAATCAGTGAATGCCTGTTTGTACCTGCAAGCTATAACGAGAATTCAAATCACATCCTGAAGCCATAACTAGCTTAAACTTACGTGGCTCAGCCAGGTTTCTCCTTTGACTATATGTTCTTTACGTACAAATCCTGCCTCAGTGATCTATGTTCTTTTTGCTCACAACAATACTTATCTCACGAAAGCAAACACAAAGCCTTTACATCTCCTACCCTAAAAACATCCTGTTAACTAGGCGGAATATTTACAGTTCTAACCAAACCTGGTTCCTCAAAATCGTAAGAGGCTGTGTGTGTCCACTCAGTTGGTAGAAAAGGACTGTCACAGGCTGTAATTCTGGGAGATCTCCAAGTGCCCCCGGAGGATGGCAACCCTGGGGAGGGGGCAGACTCCATATTAACAGTGCAATTCTATGCAGAGTTACTTACGTCTGGGCTTAGACTGGTATAACTCAGCATAGGATGACACCTCATAACACATGTGTATACTTACCGTCATACTTTGCCAAGACTGCTTGGACATCAGCATAAGCCTGCAGTTCCAGAAGGGCCTCTAGCAGATTTTCATGAATATTCAGTACACTTAGGAGAGGAAACTCTTTCATTAACTGTAGAAAAGAAGAAAGAAATTGATTAAGAGGTTACAGAAGTTACTGTTTTATAGCCCCATCATAGCATGTCTGCTCCTCTGAATAAACATGCATACCATCATTCTGTAAGACAACTTCCTCTCAATGGCTGCTTCTCCCTTTTCCCTCTGCAAAGAGAATCTGAGGATTCAAGCCATGGCAGAGGCAGAACAGGATTCTTTCCTGTACTTTCCAAAATTAAAAACAACAAAACTTAGATGATTTATAAGAAGCAAAATTTGTAAAAGGAAGGCTTAAGTCTGCAACACCATGTGGTACCAAACCTTTCAATAACACAACTCATAGCAAGAATAAGTCAGTTCACTGTTTCATTCAGAGAAAATCACAAACAGTATAAAGGTGTGAGCGTGTACTTCATATATACCAGCCACAGCAAGTTTCGTAATTTTCAGTATGTATTTCAGAGTGTTGGCAATGATAACAATGCTGCATCTGAACTATCTGAGCTTCTGGTTCATTGCATATAGAAATGTATAATTCTGGTGGAACGGGAAAAAAGATGTCTCAAACACCCTCAATGCATTGTATTCTTTGGCCTTGAGGTGTACAGAAAGTGTGGTAGTCAATCATTTTCCTTAAGGAAAATGAGTAGAACCAGACACAGTGGATTGACAAAACATATGGAAGGCTGACAACCGCATTTATCAGTGTAACTGATATCAAGGTAGACAAAACGCACTTTCAAAGACTCTTTAAAAAATGAAAAAATAAGCAAAGCCCAAACTGTTACTCAGCACTATGAAGTTCTTCTATGAAACATTTTTATGGTACTATCAGCAAAGTCTGTAATTAGGATAAAAACTAGGGAGATATATTAGAGATGCCACCTTTAGTCAGAATTTAAAAATTATTAATGAAAAAGGTAGCCCTTACTAATCAGGCAACATTTTAAAAACAGCACTTGGCAGGTGCCATCTCATTCAAGCAGGAAGGAAGGCCTCTGTGCAAACTCACATGTGCTTCATCCAAAGACAAAGAGAGTATGTTTTCTTCTACAAAAATGTATCATGAGTACCCAATCAATTTAAATTCATAAAAAGCATTCTTTAACTGAGTGACAGGCCTAAAAATGCGCCCATGAAAAAAGATTTAAACTTTTCTGATCATAGAAATAAAGTGAATACAAGTGTTGACCTGTTCAGACTGTAAGAAACTATCAGTCTTTACCTGTAGAGATTAGTTCATTAAAAAAAATACTTACATCTCTCATCATTTTTACTGCTTCTTTAATTTTTCCAAGTTTCCTTGAACACATTGCAAGTCTTCTTTTCACGTATACCAGTACATTGGTGTCTCTTCCTAAAGAAGAAAATTGCCTCCATTTATATAAAATTCAACATCATTTTTTTCTGTCATTAGCCTGCTTTTTTTTCTAAACAGAAACAGGGATTTGATAAGATAAAGGATATGAAAATATCAACATAGTAAAATGACACAGCTGGATAGCTTTAAAAATGCCTGTTTAAAAACAAACCAGACTAAAGTGGAGAATCCAGTCCAAAGCTGGCTAAATATGTAATGAACAGACTGGCATCAAAGATGCTAGATATATTCAATCATCATGTCAGTATATTATTAATCTCAAAGTGAAACTGTAAATGACATTATTGTAACAGTAAATACAATTAACATTCATGAAGTAATTGGGATTATAAGAATACATGAAGTTCCTCATCAAAGGCTCCTAAGTAAGCTCAAAAATCATGGGATAGAAGGACAAGTTCTTTTATGGATCAAAAACTGGCTAGTTCATAGAAAACAGAGAGTGAGTGTAGGTGGGCAATTTTCTCAGTGGAGGGTGGTAAGCAGTGGGGTACCGCAGGGATCAGTACTTGGTCCACTGCTTTTTAACTTGTTCATTAATGATTTGGAGATGGGAGTAAGCAGTGAAGTGGCTAAATTTGCGGATGATACAAAGTTGTTCAGGGTGGTGAAAACCAGTGAGGATTGTGAGGCACTCCAAGGGGATCTGTCAAGGATGGGCGAGTGGGCGTCAACATGGCAAATGGGGTTCAATGTGGCCAAGTGCAAGGTGATGCACATTGGAGCCAAAAATCCTAAATATAAATACACATTGATGGGGTCTGAACTGGCAGAGACTGAGCAAGAGAGAGATCTTGGAGTTGTAGTGGATAACTCACTGAAAATGTCGAGACAGTGTGTGACTGCAATAAAGAAGGCCAATGCTATGCTGGGGATTATTAGGAAGGGTATTGAAAACAGATCAGCCAATATAATAATGCCCCTATATAAATCAATGGTGAGACCTCATTTGGAATACTGTGTGCAGTTCTGGGCACCACACCTTAAAAAGGATATTATAGCTTTGGAAAAAGTGCAGAAAAGGGCAACTCGAATGATAAAAGGGTTGGAACACTTTCCCTATGAGGAAAGGTTAAAGCGCTTAGGGCTCTTTAGCTTGGAGAAAAGACGACTGAGGGGTGACATGATCGAGGTTTATAAGATTATGCATGGGAAAGAGCAGGTAGAGAAAGAGGTACTTTTCTCCCTTTCTCACAATACAAGAACTCGTGGGCACTCCATGAAACTGCAGAGCGGTCGGGTTAGAACGGATAAAAGGAAGTATTTCTTCACCCAAAGAGTGATTAACACATGGAATTCACTGCCACAGGAAGTGGTGGGTGCTACAAGCATGGACGGCTTCAAAAGGGAATTAGATAAGCATATGGAGCAGAGGTCCATCAGTGGCTAATAGCCACAAGGTATAGCTAGGGGCTCTGGGGCAAGTGATGCTCTGTCTTCTTGGTGCTTGGGGGGGGGTCAACAGTGGGAGGGCTTCTAATGTCCTGGCCCCACTGCTGGACCTCCTGATGGCACTGGTATTTCTGGCCACTGTGTGACACAGAGTGTTGGACTGGATGGGCCTTTGGCCTGATCCAACATTGGCGTCTCTTATGTTCTTATGTTCTTATGTTCTTATTTTGATCATTATAAAATGATTGCTGACGAGAACCTCCGGATTAAGTTCCGTTTCGTCGCTTCATCTGAACAAACCTTCAACGTAAAACAATTTACACACATCAACATTAATATGTTTTTTTAAAAAAATATTCAAATTTTTTACAAGATTTCTTTACAAATTTTTCTTTACAAAATTTTTTACAGAAAAAAGATCCATGGTTAAATACTTTCAATAAGGGTTTCAAACAGTCCTATTATTTTCCTAGCCACGATCAAAATAACTTCATGTATTCTTATAATCACAATTACTTCATGAAGGTCTTGCTCCGCAAAGCCCGTGGATGGCTGGATACACAAACTCATGCTTCTAAGCTGCACATAAAATTAACACTTGGCTTTCATGCTCATGTTGGTTTTAATCGCTGTTGAAGACAGTGACATTTTGCCTGACACTTTAATGAGACCAGCCCTAAGTCTTCAACGGTTTCAGCAAGAATCCTTACTCAGCTGAGCTTCATGTTGAGGACTTTGTGAACCACAATGCTGAGACTTCCTATAAACATTTTCTCCAGCTCTCAAGGCCTGCCTGAAATACTTTTCAGCATCCACAATTGTAGTTGCTTCTTCCTCAGCCAGGAGAACATACGCAGTTGCACATCTGAACAGGGAGAAAAAAAAGAGAAGATGGTATTCAGACAGACAGACACTAGCCAGGGGACTTATTTTGCATGTGGACAGAAAGAAATCTGTGGTTCGCTTTTTCTTCAATATAGTAGCTGAACAAATTCAAACATAGTATTTGCTGACACTTGATCATATACTGTGTGGAACAAAATTACATTTAGCAAATTAATAGACCACAGCAGTCCAGATAGGAATTATCCTATACAGAAGGAAACACTATTTCTTTTCATGAAGTAATCATTTTCAGTTTTTGTTCAGGAGAATCAAATACCTGATGAAAGTCATCTACAATAACATTTTGATGATTTTTTAAAAAACTTCCTTAATATGTACAACTAAACCATGGGAGTTGTTGAACATCCGCCAGTAATGTAATGTACAGCTAGGAATCAGACATTTTCAAAATCAAATAATGCCCAATTCATATATGATGTTGGGGAACAATAAACATATGCCCCTAAAGTCTAATTTACCTGCAAAAAACATCTGGGGGAGGTGGTGCGGCATAATATAGATCAGGGATGTGTGCTGGTAAAAAGAGGGTTTTAACTATTCACTGATCAAAATTATTATCGTCATCCCCCCACTGGCTGCTTTAATTCCAGGAGGAAAAAAGACAGATACCTGTACTTTGTGCCAGGTGTGAAATGCTCTAAAACACAAAAATGAATACATTATTAACCTACCAGTACCCAGTACAGATACAATGCCAATATTTTCAAGTTAAATTTGATAGAGAAATGAAAAGAATAGACACAGTGACCAATTTCAAAATATTCTACTCCGACCGTGAAATAAATAAATGAACAAAAATATTAATAACAATAAAAATGGGCCCTTCCATAACCAAAAGAACAATCATACATTCCTGTTCTTTTGAAAGATTATGGTTTTCTGTAATTTAGCGGTTTTCAAATGAAGGTTGAAATAGTTATAAGAACATTACAACTTTCATCAGGAGACATTTAAAAATACTGTGGTAGTGGTTACTGTTGCAGGCATAAATCTACTAACAGCTCCCATTACTTCTCTTCCCATGCAGCACTAGCTGCTGTGTAGTAGAGGTTGTCTACCTCAAAGTTGGTCTTTTTGGAGGATGGGAAAATATGATTTTCTCCTTTCCTCTGAGAAAAATGTTAACAATGATCAATAGAAGCTAAATATGTGGTATTAGTGTGTTCTAGGTCCAAGGTAAAAAAGCCACAGGGGGATGTAGATTTAAGAAAGTGTGAAGCAAGAATACAAATTAGAATTGCAGAGAAAGCTAATCTTAACCTTAACACTTGACCACCACAATGCAAAAGGTACTAGGAAAATATTTTAGAAGCAGACTCTCCAGTTTGCTTCAAAACTGAGTTTAGCTACCAAGACTATTTTAACTGTTGTGTTTATTTTGGGCAGATGAATACTAGAAATTCCTCATGCCATTTGAAAATATCAATAGTACATTAACCTGGGGCACAATCAAGCCAAAGTTAATTATAACAAAGGGGTTGTGCTTAACTAACAGGATTCAGTAATACTTACCTCTGGGCCACGCCCTTGTTTTTAAAAACTCAGCTTCACGGTCACTAAATGTAACATTTATGGGAGTGTTACCACTTCAGACTAAATGTCTACAGGTCCCGCAATGTTTAAAAATGTTGTGACATGCTACGGGTTTAAACATGAGAGCCATATTCAGACATTTGATCTACCACATGCAATCTGAAATTATATAAATATACATATCTAAAGATGTATATTACATCAGAGTGCGAAGTGTGTGGGTAGCCTGTATAAAATTACTGTTCAGAATTGTGTGGCTTTGACTTTAATTTTAGTTCACAAATCTCATTGATTCTTATGACCACGCTTACTCATTATTTAATTCTAAAGCTTGATATGCTGCTTTGATTCGAGCCTGAGGATTCCTCTCTCGCCATGCCTTCTGCATAACTGTTGGGAGAGAAACATTTCTTTAAAAACCAGACATGAATGAAAATCTTAATGCATGAAATATACCTCACTCAAGAAAAGTAAAAAGACATTAAAAACAGACAAGGATACTTGAATCTGTTCAACATAATACCATTTACTCAGCAAACCTGGATCTATAATCCTCAACTAGCACACATAAAGGGACATTTAAAGATGCTGAAGTACAATACTGTGATAAAATCTCTTACTTGATTTTAAGATGGCCATAGCCAATAGTAAACTTCTCTAGGTTACACACTCCAAGTAATCATAAAGATTCTTCAGTGGATCAACAGTTTTAAGATCTAAATATGCTTAGGATTGTAAGGGTTGTATATTGACTCTTTTTGAATTAGGGTTCCTTCCCTGCATTTTGGTTTAGAAAGCATGAGCTATTTCAAAAATACAGAACATTTTAATCAGTTTACAATATACAGCATAATTTATCTTGCAGAAGAGAGCAGCAAGGAATATAAAGGCCAGATAAATGGTCTTTAAAAATACATTTTGACTTAGAAAATGTGTTTAATATACACACATTCTAATTTTGTTTTCTGGGGTTATTTAGAAGAATTTCTATCCTACTAACATCATCCACCCTTCATTCTATCTTTCACAGAGGAGAAAAGAATACCTGCATCTGAAGGCCTAAGTGAATCTGTTTCACATGTAAAAAAAGTCTGATGATCCTGAGCAGACAAGTTCATGTCGTAATATGTGAGAGGCTCCTTTCCAGTCACCCATGTGTATCTTCAAGAAAAAAACAGAAGGCTTTATCAATCATTTATTGGCATAGGAAATCTGAGATGCACAATTTAACTGGACAGTTTGGCCCTGTTTGTATGCATAATACATCCTACCCCAAATAGAGATAGCTAATCATTGTACATAAGATGGATATTATTATATTCTTTCTCCACAGTCAGTCTTGGGAGAAGCATTCACTACAAATGCCAAAGGTGGGTGGACTTTTTGTGGTAGAGATGTGCATTAAGGCCCATAATGGCCATTATTGTCTTAACATTGAAAAAAAAATGTAAATATGCTATATACCGTACAACATGGATTTCAGGAAGACAGAAAAGAAACAACCTTGAAAAAATGCTCTAGATCAGTGGTCCCCAACTTTTTTGAGCCTGTAGACACCTTTCAAATTCTGACACAAGCTGGTGGGAGCAACCACAAAATGACTGCCGCAGCAGGCAGAGACAACCACAAAATGGCTGCTGCAGGATGCAGAGCTAATCACAAAACGTCAGGGAATGACAGCCAATATGATTTCCAATGGCCAAAAAGAAGTTCTGCTGGGCAAAAGCTCCACCTGGCCATACCTACATCTAAAAACACTTGGTGTGCACCAGAAACGGTCTCAATGGGCACCACGCTGGGGACCCCTGTTCTAGATCATGTAAAGGTAAAAGTAAAGGTTTCCCTCGCTCAAAAGCCAGTCGAATCCAACTCCAGGGATGCTCTGTCCTCTCTGTTTCCAAGCCGAAGAGCCAGTGCTGTCCAAAGACATTTCCGTGGTCATGTGGCCAGCATGACTAGATGCTGAGGCGCATGGAACGCTGTTACCTTCCCACTGATGCAGTACCTATTTATCTACTTGCAATTTCTTGCTTTCGAACTGCTAGGTTGGCAGGAGCTGGGGCCAGAGACGGGAGCTCACTTCGTCATGACCATCTTTAAAAATAAAAAATTCTTATCCCAACAAACAGGTGCCTGTTGGAACAGCATTCACGTCACTTCCGACTGACATTAGAAATGTGTGCAATCCTGGCCTGTTGATGTGCTTGGGTGCCTTCCTCCTCCATCTCTCCCCTCCCCTCCCCCTCTTTTTCATATGCAGAATTCTGGTTAGAAACTAACTACAGTTAACTAGGAGGTACAAATGCAGGTCTGTGGTTTAAACAGCCCAGCCCCCCCCCCCCCCCTCTGAGATTCTAATGTGGACTAAACTCCAGTTTAGAGCCCTGGCCTCTGGAGGGAAGTCTGTGCTCCTGTATTCATACGAGTTAATTTCTCACTGGGACTTTCAGTATGAGCCACATGAACCAGAAATAAGCCAGGTAAGTGTACATGCCAGTTAACAGTGATATCTGAATGCAGCCATAACCTTTGCAATCCTATTCCTTCATATGGACTGGATTTCAATACTTTGTTTTGTATTAATGTACTAAAATCTTTATACCCTGCCTTTGCCACCATCCTTCATTTTACAAATGGAAAGAATTCTAAAAGTGAACAAGAATACCTGCTATATTCTGCTCCTCTGAACAGATTGAGGGGATTTCTCCATACTTTGCACTCTGTAAAAAAGCAACAGAGCTTCAGTGTCTGATATTCTAACTTAATCGACATGGATCTTGAGGATAAAATATATTATTTCCTCTACTGCAGGGTCAAGTAATTGGAGTTGTTCTTTCACAGGACAGACACAAACCCAAAAATTCTCAGGAAGCCATCATTCACAAGTAAACAGTTGGAGGTTCACACGCAGAAAATGCATTATGATGCAACTAACATTTATTGCTTTGGAACTTGCCAGAGCTCTAGAAACCAAGCAGTACTAAACCCCATCCTCAAACTCTCACTCAAATTCAAATTGGTTTGCCAACTTCCCTTATTTTGACTACCTTTAGCAAAAAAAAAAAAAGTCATTATGTGACATGAAGCCAAAGCCTTGGCTTAGGACAATCACAATCACAATAATAATAATAATAATAATAATAATAATAATAATAATAATAAGAGATTGGATTTATATCCCGCCCTTCACTTGGAGTCTCAGAGTGGCTTACAAACTCCTTTCCCTTCCCCTCCCCACAACAGACACCCTGTGAGGTGGGTGGGGCTAAGAGAACTCTGACACAAACTTCTCTTTCAAGAACAGCTGTGCGAGAGCTTGTGACTGACCCAAGGTCACATCAGCAGGTGCAAGTGGAGGAGTGGGGAATCAAACCCGGTTCTCCCAGATTAGAGTCCGCACACTTAACCACTACATCAAACTGTTTGTATGAAGTCAGAAGCAATCACCTGATAAACTTTGCCTGTTTGTCTCACTTTCTCCATTACTGGCAGAGAAACTTGACTGCGGAGAACTATTGCTCTCTGCTCCTCCAATCAGTGGTCGCAAATGACTCACAGAAACCTGCTCAATGAAAGAAGTGCCATATTTTCTGAAATACCACCATTCAAATATCTGCAATAAGAAACAAACAAAAGAAATATTTACATACTTATTTGGCATATAGTCTGCCTTTCTTATTGAGAGTCCAGGTGGATTACAACTAAAAACAGTGCAGTAAGAACAATACACGACCACAGAACTAACAAAATTAAAAATGCACTAATACAAACAGTAAAGCAACATTGCAATGAATGCACAACATGACCAAAGAAAACTTACAGTGCAGGTCTATGCAGAGTTACATCCTGCTAAATCCCTTAAAGTCAATTGATTTATAAAACTAACGTTTAAGATTACCCTGGAAGGCTGCAGTACTAAGAACCCTTTCCTGGGACAGCTAAATTCCAGTCCAGTAGCATGAAGAGAACTTTGACTCTCAAAAGCTTATGCCCCCAAAATCTTCTGGGTCTCAGAGGTGCTACTGGACTCGAATCTAGCTGTTCCACTGCAGATCAACACAGCTACCCTCTGAAACTATCCTGGGAGTAGATTTCATTGAATAAAATAGGACTTATTTCTGAGGAGACCTAATTGGGCTCACTCCCTTAGGCTCCAATCCTCCTTCCTGGGAGTAAGTCCCACCAACTAAAATGAGGATTAATTCTGAGTAGACATGCTTAGAATCGCTCCCATAGTTACTTAAACCTCTTACTTAAAAATAACAGGTGGATTAGATATTGTTTAGTTAAGCTTCTTTCCATAAAAATATGACAATTTGCTTGTGAATAATGACAGAAAATAATCTCAGTGTGGCAGGAATTATGTCAGTAAATGAACACTAGAGGATGCAAACAAATATTGTACTTTAAACAGAGATCCGCCTTGCTAGAACTGTTTTGACTTTTATATATTTATATTGTAGGAAATGGTAGAGCAATTATCCCAAACAGTAAGTTGTTCTTTTTTTTCTAGGCTCAAAATTGCTGAAATTTGGTATCACTACTTCTCCCTGTGCTTAAGATACAGATGTGCCACAAAACCCTTTACAGACTAGGGGTGATTTCCCACTAGCGCTGCTCCGGGCTCACTCTTCACTTTTGCCTCGATGGTAGGTGTCAATTTCACACAAGCTGCTCCGCAGCCGCATTTTGCCTCGCAGCTTCATGCGATTTTCCCCGCGTCTACTCAATCCTCAAAAAACAGGATTGAGTAGACGCGGGGAAAATCGCACGAAGCTACAAGGCAAAATGCGGCTGCGGAGCAGCTTGTGTGAACTTGACACCTACCATCGAGGCAAAAGTGAAGAGTGAGCCCGGAGCAGCGCTAGTGGGAAATCACCCTAGGTTTCATGCTTCTAGAGTGCTGCTACCACAACTCTTATGGTTGCCCCTTGCAGTTTTACAAGCCTTTAAAAGCTGACTTGTAGTGGTGGTAAAAAGGTAAAGGTTCCCTTGCTCAAAAGCCAGTCGAATCCAACTCTAGGGTTGCGGTGCTCATCTCCGTTGCAAAGCCGAAGAGCCAGCGCTGTCCGAAGATGTTTCCGTGGTCATGTGGCCGGCATGACTAAACACCAAGGCTGTTACCTTCCCACTGAAGCGGTACCTATCTATCTACTTGCAATTTCTTGCTTTCGAACTGCTAGGTTGGCAGGAGCTGGAACTAGAGATGGGAGCTCACTCCGTCATGCGGCACCCGGGTCTCGAACTGCTGAACTACCGACCTTCCACAGCCTGCAGTTCAGCGTCTTAACCACTTGAGCCACTGCAGCTCCTATAGTGGTGGTAAATCTGTACAAAATCACATCCAAACAAATGGTAACCATATAAACTAAGTTTGTAATTCCGGTTTGGTCCTTGCATCTGTTAAACATCTTCATTATGTTGTATGCTAATTTTCTGCTCACCCTCTACCTATATGCATGACTGGTAACTTCCATTTCAATGTATCTGACTGTGTGCACATGAAAGCTTATACCTTGAATAAAACTTTGTTGGTCTTAAAGGTGCCACTGAACTCAAATTTTGTTCTATCAAAATGTTCTTTTTTGTATAAGAGCACCACCTACAGTTCAACTTGTGTATCAAAGGTAGTCTTTATCTACAGGCTAACGTGGCTTGCATTCAGTTTAATTAAAAAACAGATAAAGTGAAATGTTGTGTTTGTGTAAAGCCACAGATT